GCGAGGGTGGGATGTTTCAAGAGAACAGCATTGAAACACGTATATTATCTAGGGTGAAACAGTTCACCAGCCCAGGTTGGGTGCATGAGACAAGTGCTCGGGCCTGGTGCACTGGGAAGACCCAGAGGGATTGGGTGGAGAGGGAGGTGGGAGGGGGGACCGGGATGGGGAATACATGTAAAAAAAAAAAAAAAAAAAAAAAGATAAAACAGAAAAAGAGACACAGATGTACAGAACAGACTTTTGGACTCTATGGGAGAAGGCGAGGGTGGGATGTTTCGAGAGAACAACATCGAAACATGTATATTATCAAGGGTGAAACAGATCACCAGCCCAGGCTGGATGCATGAGACAAGTGATTGGGGCTGGTGCACTGGGAAGACCCAGAGGGATCGGGTGGAGAGGGAGGTGGGAGGGGGGATTGGGATGGGGAATACATGTAAATCCATGGCTGATTCATGTCCATGTATGGCAAAAACCACTACAATATTGTAAAGTAATTAGCCTCCAACTAATAAAAATAAATGGAAAAAAATAATTAAAAAAAAATAATAAAAAATAAATAAAAATAAAAGGCAGAGACATTACTCTGCCAACAAAGAAAATTATGCCCTTGAAAAATATTTGGGAATATTAGGAAATGTTCCGAATATAATAATAAGTATCACTGAAAAATATGTACTATAAATATATGCATAAAGACTATAAGAAAACATATCAAAGTATCATCAGTGATCTAAAAATTCATAAAACACAAAACATTACCTAACCTTTGCTAACTGCCTAATTTACTACTAGATAAATACATGGCACAACACAGTTATAAGCAATAAGGTATGTCCAACTAATACAAAACACAATGAAAGCAAAAGCACAAGGAACAAAATCACTTTCAAAAGTAAAGGACATACTAGAGCTAATCAACGAATACAGTAAAGTGGCAGGATATAAAATTAACACACAGAAATCTCTTGCATTCCTGTACACTAACAATGAGAAAACAGAAAGAGAAATTAAGGAAACAATACCATTCACCATTGCAACAAAAAGAATAAAATACTTAGGAGTATATCTACCTAAAGAAACAAAAGACCTATACATAGAAAACGATAAAACACTGATGAAAGAAATCAAAGAGGACACAAACAGATGGAGAAATATACCGTGTTCATGGATTGGAAGAATCAATATTGTCAAAATGGCTAGACTACCCAAAGCAATCTACAGATTCAATGCAATCCCTATCAAACTACCAACGGTATTTTTCACAGAACTAGAACGAATAATTTCACAATTTGTATGGAAATACAAAAAACCTCGAATAGCCAAAGTAATCCTGAGAAAGAAGAATGGAACTGGAGGAATCAACCTGCCTGACTTCAGACTATACTACAAAGCCACAGTCATCAAGACAGTATGGTACTGGCACAAAGACAGAAATATAGATCAATGGAACAGAATAGAAAGCCCAGAGATAAATCCACGAACCTGTGGTCACCTTATCTTCGACAAAGGAGGCAAGGATATACAGTGGAAAAAAGACAACCTCTTTAACAAGTGGTGCTGGGAAAACTGGTCAACCACCTGTAAAAGAATGAAACTAGAACACTTTCTAACACCATACACAAAAATAAACTCAAAATGGATTAAAGATCTAAATGTAAGACCAGAAACTATAAAACTCCTAGAGGAGAACATAGGCAAAACACTCTCCGACATAAATCACAGCAGGATCCTCTATGACCCACATCCCAGAATTTTAGAAACAAAAGCAAAAATAAACAAATGGGACCTAATGAAACTTAAAAGCTTTTGCACAGCAAAGGAAACTATAAGCAAGGTGAAAAGACAGCCCTCAGATTGGGAGAAAATAATAGCAAACGAAGCAACAGACAAAGGATTAATCTCAAAAATATACAAGCAACTCCTCCAGCTCAACTCCAGAAAAATAAATGACCCAATCAAAAAATGGGCCAAAGAACTGAACAGACATTTCTCCAAGGAAGACATACAGATGGCTAACAAACACATGAAAAGATGCTCAACATCGCTCATTATCAGAGAAATGCAAATCAAAACCACAATGAGGTACCATTACACACCAGTCAGGATGGCTGCTATCCAAAAGTCTACAAGCAATACATGCTGGAGAGGGTGTGGAGAAAAGGGAACCCTCTTACACTGTTGGTGGGAATGCAAATTAGTACAGCCACTATGGAAAACAGTGTGGAGATTTCTTAAAAAGCTGGAAATAGAACTGCCATATGACCCAGCAATCCCACTTCTGGGCATACACACCGAGGAAACCAGATCTGAAAGAGACACATGCACCCCAATGTTCATCGCAGCACTGTTTATCATAGCCAGGACATGGAAGCAACCTAGATGTCCATCAGCAGACGAATGGATGAGGAAGCTGTGGGACATATACACCATGGAATATTACTCAGCCATTAAAAAGAATTCATTTGAATCAGTTCTAATGAGATGGATGAAACTGGAGCCCATTATACAGAGCGAAGTAAGCCAGAAAGATAAAGACCATTACAGTATACTAACACATATATATGGAATTTAGAAAGATGGTAACGATAACCCTATATGCAAAACAGAAAAAGAGACTCCGATGTATAGAACAGACTTGTGGACTCTGGGAGAAGGCGAGGGTGGGATGTTTCAAGAGAACAGCATCAAAACATGTATATTATCTAGGGTGAAACAGATCACCAGCCCAGGTTGGGTGCATGAGACAAGTGCTCGGGCCTGGTGCACTGGGAAGACCCAGAGGGATCGGGTGGAGAGGGAGGTGGGAGGGGGGACCAGGATGGGGAATACATGTAAATCCATGGCTAATTCATTTCAATGTATGACAAAGACCATAGCAATGATGTAAAGTAATTAGCCTCCAACTAATAAAAATAAATGAAAAAAAAACCAAAACAAAACAAAAGTAAAGGACAATAATTCTGCTGGAAGGCAGCTATGCTCACCACTATACCAATGCACACTAATCCTGTTGTAATCTATTTCATGGGAAGAAGTTAACAAGCTTGAATATATGAAACAAAGAGAACTAATTATACATAAACATGAATAATTATGAATTTTTAGCAAGTCCTATTTGATTTAAAAATCAATGTAAGGGAGTGAAAAAGGGGAGAGAAAGAAACTGAGATTTTCATTAAAACAAATACTAAAAGAAATCTTCATGTCTAAATGAGTTAAAATTTACTTTTCTTACTTTTTCAAAAACTGATCTCCATTATCATCTCTAAGTAACAAGCTACTTGCATCAATTCCATGTGACAAATGGACCAGGTATGATATGAAGACATGACATAAGTGATGCATAACACAGTAATATTTGGCTCACAACATCTTATGTTCTGGTCTCCAGAAGCCCAAATCAAACCACAAGTAAGACCCCATTCCAATGCAAAAACAAAATAGGGTAAAACTGCCCAAAACAAAAAACCAAAATTCTACACCACAAAATTAACACTTTAAAGATTAAAGACTGTCAACCTGTTTCTGTTGTACACTTTTAAACTCTAAATTATGATGTAGGAGTACACTGGAGTAGGAGCTTCCCAAATTATTAAGAGGGGAAAGGACAAGAGGGGAGAAGCCTTTGATAACTGAGGAATAAATAAGCTAGCATCAGTATCTTTTCCCTCAGTGACGTTTGGAGAAATTTTATTAGAAATTACATTTTACTCATACCTATAGTGAATTCATTTAGCCCAAATTCTAACAGGGGAAGGTAACTAGTTTAATGGGAAGGGAGGCTGAGAAGAGCTGAGATATATACAGAATGAATGCTTAGAAGGTATCCTGATAGAAACCCATAAGAGAAAGAAGCTGAAGGCAGAAATATGGTATATCCTGACACAGTAGTTGAAAAGCACTTCTTTAGACTGGCTCTGTTAAACTTAAGGCACTAAGATCCCAGCTCCATACAGTGATATTACAACTAATTTACCTACAGATGCTAATGATGTTAGCTCTGGCTTTGCTAAGCTGGGTGTATTTAGGGTTTTTTTAACTTTCATACTAGACAAGGATTGTGTTCTCCAAAAGGAGAAAACCAATCTGCTTATGAGTAACAACAATATGGCTATTTAAAAAGGGAACAGCATTTTCTAATTTTTGGTCAAGGGAAGAATTAAGCTAGATAATGCCTCTGATAAAGTAAACAGTGTGTGAACAGGTTTCTTGAGCCAAGAGCTGAGCTTATTGCTAGAAAGTAAATGACAAGAGCAATTCTTCAAAAGTACTTATGAATTCTCATCCTTTCAAACACTTGTTTGACCCCCAAATTCTTAAACAAAGATGGACCTAATTTCCACAGTTTGCCTTAAGATTCCTCAAGTGTTTGAAATCCATTCCCAGTGCAATCAGGGGGCAGACGTGAAAGTGAGTAATTAACTTCTCTGAATGGCTGCAATTATGAGAAGTACAAAGAAATCCATGTAAAATCTGTTGGAAGATTTCTCTCACCCTAGGTTTCCCATCTCCTAACTTCTATCAACATAAGTCTGGACTTCTTACAGCAAAACTCATAGCCTATCCAAAAGATTAACAAATTTAAGTCAACATTTTGCTTACTTCAATCAATTAATACGTAACAAAATTCCTGTACAAACCTAACAGTGTGGATCATTCCTTATAGTAGAGATTCTCAAACTTGGTTATTCATTATGATCTGTGGAGGATTTTTAAATTAAAAAATATTTATTTTTTTTAAAAAAAGAGATTTTAGTATCTACTGAACCAGAATCTCTAAAGACTCAGGATGTTGTATTATTTTAATAATTTCCAGGTGATCTCTGATAAAACTGGTGCATAGGTTGGTTTCAGAAATACCTTCTTAGTAAAATAGGGCTTGTACTATAACACACATTTTTTAATTGGAAAAGGAAAAATTTCTGTTTTTCTGTGCCAACCTGGAAATCTAATCCTGAAACAAAGAGGTCAGTTTCATGTAGTTGAAAGGATACTGTGAAGGTAGGTTTATATATATCATATCCTACATTGGCCAGGCTCTTGGCAATCATCTGGGTAGTCACCTTCTTTTGACGCAGAAAAATTTTCACTCGTGGCTTCATGTATAGAATGCCACAAAATGCCTATGGAACAGTGAAGGGAAAGTTATTACACAATATTGACAATTCTACTGACATCCCCACAAAACGCTGCTAGCATCTGAGATCTCATCTGGGCAAAGATTTGGCTCAGTTTGTATACTTTGTTATTCTACATCAACTACCATACTAAGTACTGCTGACTACGTTAGCTACACTGAGTGCAGACAGTAAAAAGGAATACGAGTATAGGGTTAAAAGGTTGTCAGCTTTATATAACTAAAGTGAGATTTTGTTCTGTAATATTTTCATGTTACAGGACATCTTACCTCTCATTGTTGAAGAAAAACCACTCTTACTCACCCGTAATGAGTACTCTGTTTCTGGCAGCTCAGAGGAAACGCCACCAGTCTCTTTTTCATCTGTGCCAAAGTCTGTTACCAGGATATCATACTGATCTGTATCAAAGTCCAACTCAGACTTTCCATCTTTATTTCTGGGTAAAAGAGACAAGTACCAATCTAACAAAAACTGGCTCCAAAGGACAAAAATGCACTAGGAACCCAAGAGAAAAGAAATAACATGAGCCAAAACTCAGATACCTATTTCTTCCCCTGACTACCAGTTCAAAGGAACTATGTGTTATTTGCTTTGAAGGTCACACAATATTTAAGGGTATTTCCAGTCTAAACAATTCTAATATGTTTCATAGAGGTGTGATACCAAGTAGCAAAGGAAAGAAAAAAAGGAAGGTGGGGATGTCTGTAATCTGATAAATCAAATGGATACATCAGCTATCCTCGAGGCAGGATCTTAATATAGAATTGTTAGGTAGGTCATTCAACATAATTTCGCCCAACTGAAACAGATTAATCAAAATCTACTCTTTCTAACTTCAGTAATAGTATAAGGACTAATAAGATTTCCCCAGATCTAATTCTATTTCTTAGAAGGAAAAAAAAAAAGGTTGTGATAGAAACAACATATCCTTGTTAGTCTTCTAGAAGATCATTTATATAATTGTCATTTAAATATAATAGTACTCATATTCCTTTCCCAAGGACATTTCTTCTCATAATCCCTTCAGGTCACTTAAATATGGTCTATTCCAAGACCCTGGGCTACATCACTCACAACTGCCAGGAGAAAAAAGACAAGACTCATCTTTGTTACCAGAAAAAACTCCAAACAAATGATGGGTTACAGAGAGAAAACATATATCAGAATAACGGTCCCCCAAATTTGTTCTGTGTAATGACAGTGCCCCAAGATACTCTTAAATATGAAATAAAGATATAAAGTCTGTATAATCAAATAAAATCAGTTCCTGATTTCCAGAGCCACCTCTAGCTCTAGGGACACCTCCCTCATACTTGAGGCTTCAGAGGCTCAGAGTTGCTGTGTTGAAAATGTAGCTCCTTTTTCAGGGCTGAACCAGAGCCACTATCATACATATCCTGTATAAAGCTCAGGTCATTATAACAGTATATTTTATATTTTCCAGGATAATCCTGATTCCTGCTACCCATCCCACTCCAACAAATGTACTCTGAGGAGATTCCTGTCCCCCATGGCCCTCACCATTCACTGTCCAAGGAAAAGAGGTCTGGAGAGACAGGTTTTTGAAATTTGGAAACTGCATACTATATTGCTCTCTTAAATATTTTCACTGTATGTTGAAATAATGTTTTAGCATACTACAGCCTCTCAGAAGTGCTATAATAAAGTTATGTGGTAAGCTCTGTTTAAGCCAGCTTTTCCCAAAGTTATTTGACCATGGAATCTTATTTATGTAATACCTAGTACCATATAACTGAGAAACAATACACAAAGAGAAAAGTCTGCTGAGAATGTGTTTAAATCACTGGAAATACCTCATGACAATGATCCTTTATAATATAAATTATATTACTTGAGGTTTTCCTAGTAGGACACAGGAGGATGTAAATTACCTTACTTTTTTTTCTTTTTAATTCAAAGCACTTTCTATACAGACCACCACAGTTTTTTAACTAAGTTTTACCCAACTAAGAAATGAGGCAAAATACTTGACCTATGGAGAAAAAGAAGAATGAATGTATCTGATACTGTGTTCTATTAAACATAAGAGTACCACTTCTATTTTTTTTCCACTTCTATTTTATATTGAAGATTTTTTTGTTTCAATGGACACTATTTCATTTAGCATGACAAGATGAGACAAATGACATATCCTAAACTATTTCTAGGTAGCTCTAAATATATGACCTGAAGTCAACTTCATTATAGTTCAAATTTATCTGCTTCAAAGATTTTTCTACTTTTGATCCAACTACTCTGAAAGCACAAATACACGTCCTTATTATTTTAAGATTGTGTTGTGCTTTGTTACCCTACATTTTCTTCCTTATACTTCATTTTCACTGTCATATAGGTGAAATAACTATCACTGACCTATCTCTAAACAGTGTCTGTGAATATACAATAGATATTTATAATGGATTTGGAAGATTTTAGAATAATATTGAACTATCTTGATGGTAACAGCCTCAGGATATGTATACAAGTCTCCACGTTATCAAGCTGCACATTTTACCACTAAGAAGCACTATCTCAAACAGAGCTGTGGTTCTAAGAAAGTTAAGGAAAAGTATGCAATGAGATACAAACATGTATCAAAATTTATCTACTCTGCTTCTCTACAGAAGAGATTTATTAAAATATGCTTCATCGTACTGCTTCTGTTTATTAGAATCTATCACTCTTGGATACTATACCTGCGGATGTTCCAAATGAGAACACGAGTGCCTTTTTTGCCTGGGATGGCATCAAACTGGGACAGCAGGTCATTTTCACTGTTGAAAATTGAATAGTTCAAGATGGCTTCTAGGCTGGGCAAAGAATCCTCAGTAATAATCATTTTTTGTAAAACCAAGTATAGTCAAAGAAAAATTATCTTCAGAGGATGCTATCACAGGAAGATCTGCCTTTTGGGTTGCATGTTTAGACAAAATATAGACATAAACATATAAAGCATGGGCATTACTGCTTCAGAAGAAAGGTAAGCGGGGGGCGGGGGTGATGCAGAAAGATTATAGAGACAAATACCAAAATCAGTTACCCTTGCAGAATACTGCTTCAAACATTCCACATAAATTAAGACAGTCCTATACTTAAGAAACAGATCAAAGTCTGAATTTTTAGACTCATTGGAAGCAATGAGTTCAAACTTTATTGCTATACTGTCTGCATAAAGACAACCTGGTATCTAACTGAAATAATAGCTTGCCCAGGTACAGAAAAATGAGCTGTTCAGCTGTCAGATAAGCTAATGAACAGTAAGTTTCTAGGAGGGTGACACAAATATAACTACTTTTATGGGGAAAAAAAAGAGAAGGCCCCAGGGAACTGTACCGTAGGAGTGGTGAGGGGGTGGAGACAGTATATAGATCAAATCATGTAACGATGAAAATTGCAAAATAACAAAAACATTTCTCAGTTTCTTCCAATGATCTATTTATTTTAATAATATTTAATAGGGTGAAATTATAGTTAAATTTAAGACATCTGATACCTCTTTAAATATGGAAACTTTTGATAGCTGCATTTGACCTGAAGAAAGAGGTTTCTATCAAAATTGTCAGGTTAGGCTAATTTTTAACTAATATTTCCCATTTCCAGAAAGGATATTGTTTTGCTGGTTGAATGGAACAATTGGTATAATAACTGCTTGGGCCTGGACACATTCCAGGTATGTCTGTGATAGGAGTCCAACAGTGAGAGTGCCCCCATTCTTGGTGAAGACAAGAGCATCCTTTCCTAGCCGCATGGAGCCTGACTTGAAACCATTACCAAAGACTCCGATGGGACACTGGCTCTTCTTTATGACTTTATCTGTAAAGCCAAAGCTGCAATTACACAAGAAAAAAGAAATCAGAAGAAATCAGAAAGGTAAAAGAGCATCCTAAGATAGGTAGGCTGAATGTTTGGCTTACAAATGAAGAACACTTGTAAAAAGTTCTTCCTTTTGGTATTTCTGGGCTAAACCATTAAGTGAAAACATAGGAAATAACCATGGGGTAATGGCACTGATTTTCCTGTGTGGTTTGTGTGTACATAAACACTTCCACTGCATTAGAGTCACATATTATAAAGGTAAAGGTAGCCTCTTTTCACTAACAGAGGCTATGGCACAGCTGCCTTTCTTGTTTAGATAAAAGAGCTCCGTTTGCTAATAGTAAAGTTAGGGGAAGACGAACAGGGTAGTTATCTCAGAGTACACCTGAGAGAGGGTAACAAGAGTACCAGATACTGACACTAGTCAGAGGTACGAGGCAGAGAGTAGGCATCCCTAACCTGGTTATTATCACTCTCTAGAAATTGGAAAGTCAGAGGTTATGTATCTTGCAAATTTCAATTATTCACTCAAAGGATAACACTTCCAATTCTTACCCTCTGCTCCATCTGCTGGGACAGTTCATTGGAATGTGGCCAAGGGATAAAAATAGGTAGTTCTGCCTCTGAATATCAGCAAACAGCTGCAGTATAAAGTCTCTCTTGTTTTACTAAGGGCCTTTCACAAAGCCACCTCAACAATCTCTGCGGCCCCTTAGGATCAGCTTAAATCTGGGAGCTAGATCCTTCCCCTTTCTTCTATTTCCATTCAAACACACAACAAAATTACCAAACCAAACAAAAATTAAAGACATGGAAAGCTAGAAAATAAGTATTACCTTCATATATCTTCTCTCATGACAAATAAAACTAATTTTTTAAAGATGAGTTCTCTCCAGATGGACTAAGTTTCCAATATTGTACACTACCATCCATTCCATAAATATTTACTGAGTACCTACTATGTGCTGTGCAGCATGCCAAGCAGTGGAGACACAACTGTTAATAATAAGAGACATGATTCTTGCCCTCATGGTTTACAGTGTAAGGAAGGATTTCATGTTACAGATCAGATGTTTTTCCAACATCGATAAAATAGATGCTCTACCTGCCATGGCTGAGCAGCTTGGCCTTGGCTCTCTTTTAATTGGGTTGAAGTATGATCCCTGGGTTGGGAAGATCCCCTGGAGAAAGGAATGGCCACCCACTCCAGTATTCTTGCCTGCAGAACTTCCATGGACAGAGGAGCCTGGACGGCTACAGTCTATGGGGTCACAGTAGGACACTACTGAGTCACACATATACACGCACCTGATTTCTACTTCCTGGAGGTGGGGGTTTGTGTTTACTTGCTAAGGAAGGAGGATCACCTTTTAATTTTCAAGTGTTACAGGATACCACTGTGTCCCTCGAGATGAGACACTTTAAAAGACCTTTGTGTATCCAGCAAATAAATCCAATCACATAAAAAGGTAATTTCTAGGGCAGAAGTTCCTTTGAAAATACCAAAAGAGCATTGAGCTTATGCAGTCTATGGGCCTTAGCAATCCAGAAAGTAAACTTAAAGAAGTTGGTTAAGATTCAAGCATTCCTTTTCCTCCTGTGATAGAATTGAGGATTAAATGTTACACTATGTGTATAATATATTACAACTTACAAAGTAGTATTCAAGCTTCAATTCTAAACTCTAGAAGTCATTCAGAATGGTCATATGCTATCCTCTACTTCTGCTTCTAAAGTGGTGATCTAATGTCATATCTAAAACTCAGGACTCTTATCAACAGTAAACTTACCTACCATGTGAAATGGATCTACAGAGTTATTTGGACTTTAACCTTCTCTAATGCTACCAAGAAAATAGTGCTTTATTTCTCCAAAATCAGATGGTGACTGCAGCCATGAAATTAAAAGATGCTTGCTCCTTGGAAGAAAAGCTATGACTAACCTAGATGGCATACTAAAAAGCAGACATCACTTTGCCGACAAAGGTCCATCTAGTCAAAGCTATGGTTTTTCCAGTAGTCATGTATGGATGTGAGAGTTGGACCATAAAGAAAGCTGAGTGCTGAAGAACTGATGCTTTTGTACTGTGGTGTTGGAGAAGACTCTCGAGAGTCCCTTGGACAGCAAGGAGATCAAACCAGTTAATCCTAAAAGAAATCAGCCCTGAATATTCATTGGAAGGACTGATGCTGAAGCTAAAACTCCAATACTCTGGCCAACTGATGTGATGAATTGACTCATTGGAAAAGACCATGATGCTGGGAAAGACTGAAGGCAGGAGGAGAAGGGGATGACAGAGGATGAGATGGCTGGATGGCATCACTGACTCTATGGACATGAGTTTGAGCAAGCTGCAGGAGTTGGTGATGGACAGGGAAGCCTGGTGCGCTGCAGTCCATGGGGTCGCAAAGAGTCAGACACGACTGAGCAACTGAACTGAATGCTACCTAAGCTTCAATTAGGTGGTCAAGGGAAAGTGGTGAAAATAGGGAGATTATATTGCTTCTTTAATTTCCTTACCATTTCTGCTTGTTCTGCCATCTATTATCTTTTCCCTTTTATAACTATAAACTTTCATTGTATTATAGCTTATATGGTGGTACTGGTGAAGTTGCTAAGTCATGTCCGACTCTTTGACCCTATGGACCATAGCTTGCCAGCCTCCTCTGTCCATGGGATTTCCCAGGCAAAAATACTGGAGTGGGTTGCCATTTCATCCTCTAGGGGAACTTCTCGACCCAGGGATTGAACCTGGGTCTCCTGCATTGCAGGCATATTCTTTACCGACTAAGACTACATAAGGCTGAAAAGATAGGCAGTGGGGCAGGGCAAGAACCAGAAATGCCAAAGGATGAGAATGAGATGAGAGGAGCTGGATGCTCAGTTTGTTTTTGTTATGTTACCCTTAACTCTTCCTCTGTGTTCTTTTATGCCACTTGCATTCCCATATTAGGTATTCTATTTAACTGAAAAATCTCAGGATACATGCCAGATACGAATCAAATAGCTGCCTAACATAAAAGTATTCACAATAAATAACAGAATTGTAGGAATGAATCTTATATAGTTTGGTATGTGTGTTAGTCACTCAGTGTCCAAGTCTTTGAGACCTCATGGACTGTATAGCCCACCAGGCTCCTGTGTCCATAGAATCCTCTGAGCAACGTTACTAGAGTAGGTAGCCATTCTCTTCTTCAGGGGATCTTCCTGACCCAGGGATTGAAACCAGGTCTCCTGTATTACAAGCAGATTCTTTAATTTTCCATATACATTTTGTCTTAGGTGGTTTCTCTTCACTAAGTAAGTCCTATTCTATCTCCTTAATGAAATAGACAACAGTATTTACACACCAAGGGGGTTCTATGAGTGGAATCCAGGAAAATAGCAGCTTCTTTCCAAGTTCCTTAAAAAAGTCAACTCTAGAATCTAGAGAGGTAAATTTAAACTGGGACTCTGATCAATTAAAAAAAAACCTTAGCAAATTAATGGGCATAAAAGGGAAAGTACTGCTGTTCTCTAAATGTACTGGTGATATAATATGTAGCATAAAATAAGGAAAGGATACTAAGCATACTGTTATTCTCTGGCTGTTGTTGTAGAAGAACAGACCTACTAGGAAATACACTTCTTATCAAAGGGAGCAAAGACCTTCAATTTATGAATCTGTGGCTGCTTTTAATCCTTGACCTTTAAAAGAGGTTTTCCAACAAAGGTGGCTGAATATATAGACTAGTTGGTTCACACACTCCCCATAAGCTAAACAGAACTAATTGTGAACCTTAAAGGATTTTAATGATAGAATTTTTCTTTTTACCTTAATTTTCATGGGATTTTGTGTTTATGGGAGAAACTGTTCTTACTTACATAACTATTTTATTAGCCTGAAAATATAAGAGTATCATAAAAAGTTGGAAAATGTGAATAAGATTATAACAAATGTTATAGGTCAAATAGAATTTCTGCAGGCTTAATAATTTTGCATGATTATCTGTTATTTTTCCCAAATACAAAAGTAATATGACCCCAAACAGAAAAATTAGTATACTTAATAAAAGTTTTCAATGCTACCTCTAAAATTCAACTATTTTAGAACAAATTGTGGTACATGGAATCCCTGGCTAGAAGTAAAGAGTTGGATTAAATAATCTCTTTTAAATAAATGGGACCTTCTAACTGATTCAAGTTTGTTTCAAGATACGATTAGGAATAAAGTCTAATACATATAACTATACATAATCCAGGACTCATTTTTTAAATTCTCTAAAATTAAACAGACTTGTGGTTTCCAAGGAGAGGAGGAGGGAGGTATTGGGATTTGGGGATCAGCATATGCAAACTGATATATATAAAATGGATGGACAAGTCCTACTGTATAGCACAGGGAACTATATTCAATATCCTGTGATAAACCATCATGGGAAAGAATATGAAAAAACATATGTATGTATATGTATAACTGAGCCATGTTGCTGTACAGCAGAAATTAACACATTATAAACCAACTACACTTCAATAAAAATTTTTAAAATTCTCTAAAATTAATTTTTAAATATGAGGAACAACTGCCCAGCTCAAATTAGTGGGAAACATTTTTGGCATGATAATGTCAAAAAAATCCTATGGTTACTATAGTTTCTGCCTGTTTTGTTCCTTGTGAAGGAAGCAAACTTTTGAATGAATGATACTCATCCTTTATATGTGAACTCAAATGTCATTTCTACATGGTCGTCTTTTTTGATTCCATAGACTAGATTAGATCCCTCTGCTATATACTCTCATAGAAACTACTTTTCCTTCACAGCACTTACCACTAGTAGAATAACCTATGTAGTTGTACTACTAGTCAATTATTTTGTATCTTTTTCACTAAACTGTCAGACCCTTGACAACAAGAATCATATCTGTCTGGTTCACCCCTTTATCTCCAGTGACTCTCACATAGGTAGGTGTTCAGTAAAAATTTGGTGAAAGAATCTAGAACAAAAGAGAAAGTGTTAGTCGCTAAGTTGTATCTGACTCTTTGCGACCCCATGGACTGTAGCCCACCAGGCTCCTCTGTCCATGGCATTCTCAAGGCAAGAATACTGGAATGGGTTGCCATTACCTTATCCAGGGTATCTCCCTAATCAGGGATTGAACCCAGGTCTCCTGCATTACAGGCAGATTCTTTACCATCTGAGCTACCAGGGAAGCCCAGAACAAAAGTTGTTGCAATTACTGTTACAATTATTTTGAAGCCACCCTCTTCCTTCCTCCTGCCTTATAATTGTAAGCACCAACTCTCACATATCTAGCTCCACAAACAAATAGAAGGTGGTAAGATTTGTTGAGCCCACTATTTGACACCCATGTCACTGAGATAACGTGTGGTGGAAAGGAATCAATAAGAAGATATATGATTTTAGGAAAAAAACTAGTACATACAAATTTAGACACATAAATATTTTGGTTCCACCCCACCTAAAATCCTATTTTTCACAATATAAAATATTAACTTTAGGAGATAAAAGTGAGGCTGTACGTTCAAAAACAAGGCCACTCCATACCTTCACCAACATACTGGCCACGTTCTTATCTCACTTCTAGAAGCTTTCCCCAGATATTCTTCTAATTATGAGGATCTGAGACATACTGTATACATATGGTACCAGATTGCTGACTGGTAAAACATAACCAACGTTATAATTGGTTATGCCCAAATTTCACTTCTTTGATGACTCAAAAAGATTTCCCTAGAAACAGGGTTAGAGAATTAGAATACCTTCAAAGAGAACTATAACCAAATAAATCTCTTCCATTTTTATAGCTCAGAGCCCTTTCCCTCCTCCACTGGTACTCATGCTTCACACACTAGTGCAGGAAGCCACTTGCTGCTGCTGCTAAATCGCTTCAGTCATGTCCGACTCTGTGCGACCCCACAGACGACAGCCCACCAGGCTCCCCTGTCCCTGGGATTTTCCAGGCAAGAACACTGGAGTAGGTTGCCATTTTCCTTCTCCAATGCGTGAAAGTGAAGTCGCTCAGTGGTGTCCAACTCTTCGCGACCCCATGGACTGCAGCCTACCAGGCTCCTCCATCCATGGGATTTTCCAGGCAAGAGTACTGGAGTGGCTTGCCGTTGCCCTCTCCGAGGAAGCCACATGGAGAGTAATAAACCTCATTTGCTCAAAAAGGAAGCGAGAAGGAAAGAGTTGAGGAAGCACTCATCTTTCACTGAGTGATATGTGAAGATAATAAAGTACAAATTTACATTCTTAATTACAAACCTTTTAAAGTAATTAAATGAACTGACAGTGGCAACAGAAATCTATATTACCAGCTTCAGCAGTTAGAAAAGAGAATTTCCTAACTGTAATTCTCCTGCAAAACTTTCAAATATTATGTGTATGACATCTTCTGTATCTTTCGTGGTGCTTGATTATACCCGGGAATGTTCATGGTTCTAATCTATAAACTGTTAAAATGCCAATACTTCTGCTCTAAGAGTGAATTTAAGTTAATATAAGTTGGAGAAGGTCTCAGATCGGTGAAGACTTCCAGGTCTTTAACCTTGCTGTTCTTTTTGTCTAGACTCTCACCCTTGCCCCTTGTACCTTTACCTCATTAAATTCTACTAATCACCCCTTAGATCTCAGCCTAAACATCATCTCATCTAAGAGGCTCTGCCTGACCTTCTGGATCAGATAGGGCTCCCTTGATGAGTTATCTCATTGCATCCTATACTTTTCTATCATCATACCTATGATTTTTTGTTATGATTACTACTTGACTGTCTGAATTGCCAGCTAGACTCTTAAGTCCCACAAGGTCAAGAAGAGTGTCTATTTTATAACCTGTGTCCTTGTACATAACAGCTGTTCAATAAACATTTGCTGAATGAATAAAGAGGAAGGAAAATGGTAAAAGAAAATTATTAAGCCTTAAATAGAGTTCATGAGCTCAAGACAAGAGAAAAAGAATGAAGATATCTTTACCTGAGCATTCGGTGTAGTTTATGAGGTGTCATCCCACATCCATCATCAGTAAAGGTCAAACAAGTTTTATTCTTGACCTCCTCAACATCTATAAAGACCGTCCTGGCGGATACATCTGGATCTACAGCATTATCTGCAAAAGGTAGAAATCTGTGATATTAGATCTCTTTTTCTAATATTCTATTAAAATCTCTAGTTCAGTGCCCCTAAGACATAGAAACTGTCCTTTATTCCCTTCATGCGAATGTCCCAGAAGGTGAGCAGGGAGCATTAATGGTATGGGGGAAGAAAGGAATGATAGCAGATGGGTTTATGAAGCTGATTTCTAGATTTCACATAATGACTTATGTGCAATCTTCCCTTTTTCTCTTCAAACTTCAAGGATTATGGGAAAATTAAGTCCTCCATGTACAAGGCATTTTGCTCAATTTTTGTCTTATTACTTCTTATCTTTTAGCCACTTTACTGCTCACAGACATATACAGTAAAGGGTGGTTATGGAGAAGAGTTGAATCTGCAACTTTGTTACAAATAGATACATACCACACACATTAGAGTTTATTGCAAAGATTTTATTTTCTACTTTTCTTTTACATCACCTCCTCCATTAAAGAACACAGATATTATCACCATCCCCATTTATAGCATGAGAGGCACTGAAAGAGTTAAGAGGTTAAAACCAAAACACTAACTGCCTGCCTAGACCCAAACAATGTACCAAGTATGCTTAGAAGAGTGAGTCTGCTTAGGTATTCTGTAATAGTCTTGAAGGTGAGACTGTCTAATTCTCATTAAATGGAGAACATAGAATTAAAGTAGGGGAAAATATATAGAAAGTTTTACAATTCTTTCTGGGTTAGGTCTTCACAATGAGTTATTTATCCAAGAATCCAAAGACATCAGATATAGCCATATTCTAATATATGTGCCATGTCTGCAACCCCAGGGGATGACATTGGCTGAATAGTCACATCTTTTTGCCACAGGTGCCAGTTTACATAGTTGCCAGTCATTGACATACGTGGTACAAAAGTCTCATTAGGGCTCACTGGCTGGAGTGGGAGGGCAGTTTGTGCAATCTGTTAGATTGGTGTCTCAAGCACTCCTGTCTTTACTGGCTCTTTAAACAAGACAAAGGCCTTTCCTCCCACCCACTTCCCTTTCCCTGGGATCATACATTGATTCCTTGTGGCTGGGCTGGAAGATTTGGGTGGGGTTCCGGTTGTATACTCATCCCACTATCAATGGCAGTTCTTTGTGGGGAACATCACTTAAAAGCAAGAGAAGTGTTGCACATATTCAAAATACCAGTTTTTGTAACACAATTAACAGTATCAAAAAAAAAAACAGTATCAGTTACAACCACTTAAATGTGTGGAATGTCCATCAAATGAAACAGGACAGATTAATTTCAAGGGCCACAATGGTGTTGCCAGAATTACTGATAAAACTGTCACTGACTGTAACCCAGAAAATCTTAACAGCATTAAGGCATCATGGATAGCCCCAGAAGGGGATTAAAAGGTCTGATAGAGTCAATCTTTAAGGACTAGGTGGGGTCAAGCCTTGTGTCATGTGGACCAACTTTTGGCAGGAATTGTTAAGTCTGACGTGCAATAGTGCCTTTATCAGAAAGACAGCATTTTACTTTGTAATAAGAGGCAGCAGATTTTTTTAACTGACAGAAGGATTCAGCATTGTGAAGGCACCTACAGCGTTTCAAAAAACTACTTGGCAAGTAGGCCCCGAATTGTTTTAGAACCTATCAATCACGGCTGCTGGCAGCCAAGGCCATTGAGACCGATGCCCTTACTTTGTCAACCAACAGGACATCATTTCTACTTTGAAAACTTTGGACATAGAAGGACTTTTTCCCCTAACACTTAATGAACATTGACAATTCAAACATATGATGCATATCAATTCCAATTCCACATTTATATAACTGTACAGTCAATGAACCAGCTTGGAGGCCTCTCACAAAAATCACTTTTTCCCCCATTTTATTGTCAATTTCACCAAAACTTTACTAGGTGCTTTTTTTAAAACAGAAATCTACCAAAAAGTTTTAAGGTAACTATCAGGAGCAGCTAGAAATTTTACCTCCTTGGCTGGAAGCGGGTAGAATACAGGGGGGAGAGGGCACAGCAGAGGCCAGGGTCAGCTGGGGCAGCAGGGGAAAAGAGATCAGCAGACAGACCAGCAGCAGTAAGCACAGCTTTGCACTTACTTTTGGTTTTAAGTGGCCTTCCACTTGGCCTCAACAAATAAAGTTGTAATAACAGGTTGGCCTCAATAAATGAACTTACAATAAAAAAGGCACCAATCTGGCAGCTGGTTTCAATTTTTGTTTAACCTTTCAAATGTTTTCAACACATAGCACATGCTATCAAATCCTATAGAATCTATCTTCTCCCATAGCCCAGCCCACCTAATCTATGACCAGGTAGGGCAGAGAAAAATCCTATTCAACTCCCTTGGCCCACCACTTAGGTGATAGCTACACCACCAAATCCTGGGAAGTCCTTATCCCCTCACTTGGCTCACACAGTCTCCTGTGCTCTCAGACCTAAGTAATCTTATCTCTCTTAACCGAGCTCATGGTACCCTCAGTGGGAGGACTCTAACTCCTCTCAGCCACCACTTAGTTAACAGCATGAGAAACCAAGTCTCAGGGACTTTATGTTATCCCCTAACCATGTGACCTGGGGTCTAAAAAAACATCATAACTGAACCTTCATAGCTCATTCTAACCTGGGAGGCAATAAGGAAGTGTCCCAGGACAGCATCCCTGGAGAGACAGGATGGCAAGTGGGAGATAGCTGGTTTTGATATAGCTCTTCCCCCCATCCCCTCCTGTTCCAGGCGAATGGCCTGTGACGATTCCTGCAAGGTTGTCAGGGCCAAGCTGTGGCCCTCCCAGACATCCAGTAAGTACCTAAAACTGCTCTCATCTAAAATTAAGGTCATCATCTTCTGACACAAGCTTATTTTTCCTCTCTCCTCTCTCATACACACAAACACACACACAGTGTCAGTATTCAAATGACAAGTTTGAAATATGAAAGTCATTTTTTGTCCCTCCCTCTTTCTTACCCTATACACCCCTAGTCTCTCTTATATCTTCGTATTTCTATTTCCATTGTCACTTTCTTAGTTTACAGAGTCTATTCCCTCTTATCTGCATTGTTGTGATAACTTCCTACCTAGTCCTTCAAAGCCTTGTCCCTCTTTGCTCCAATTCATCTTATACAATGCTGCAAGATTAACTTTCCTGAAGCACAGCTCTGACCACAATACTCCCTTCATTAGAAAACTTCAGATTAAAAGCCCAAGTACTCGAGCCTCCCAGTCTCATTTTGGTCACAGCTCACCATTCTAACCTCATTCCCTACTTAGTACTTAGGGTAAAAAGACCTGCATTTGAGTCCTGGGTCTGCCACTTACTAAACACATAATTGTGGAAAAGTCAACTAAATTCTCTGAGCCTATGTATCCTTATCTACAAGATGAGAATAATGATGACAATGGTGATAATGCTGCTCTTTACCCCAAAAAGTATAGTTAAAAATATATTTGTGAAAACTCCATGTAAACTCTCTAAGGACCTATAGTTTTAACTCTTCATGATATCCATGTTCCAACTAAACTCAGTTACTCAGTATTCTTCATGACTTGGTTCATGCAGTTGTTCCTTTTGCCTGGAATGCCCTCCCCTCCCCACACCCATGCCCACATGTCCCAATCCTTCAAATCTCAGCTCAAATGTCACCTCCTCTCCAAAGTCTTTCCTAACTCTCCTTTTCCTGGTAAGCTGAATGTCACCCCTCCTTCCTTTGGACTCCCACAGTACAAAATGTGTCCATCTTCGCCAATATATCACTTTCTATTTTGCAGTTATACAAAGAATAACCCTTCTGTACATGTTTTCTCTCCCCTACTCGAAGATGAACCTATGTTGTATTCATTTTTGTATCTACCACAGTGAATGCTCAATAAATATTTATCAAATGAATGGTTCACCAGAAAATTAATACATAAGTGAAGAAAACTACTGAAGGAAAATCTAAACTGAAAGCTTCAGATTACCAGTTAACACTTTGCTCTCCCTTTTCTCTATTATTAATATGACAGATAGTTGTGATTTGGTTTTAATCTGTGTTGGTATATATGTGTGCAGGCGTGTGTGTGTATGTATATAATACACCTGTATACTTGTACTCGTATGGGTCGGCTTAGACCAGAATTAGGTTCTTTAAGTTAATGCTAAGGCAAGGATCATATATATTCAAAACTACAAATGAAACACTTTAAAGATCATCCATAAAGTTCAGTACACAGTATACCATAGGTACACATGGTTCTGCACGGTGCTACTGTGAGGGAACAAGATTCTGTCTCTCATTTCTCACTAAGTAAACTGGTGGCTTTCCCCTCTTTTTCTCTTTTGTAAGTCACACGCACCTAGATCTCACTCCATTGTGAATTTCCCTCAAGGCATGGTGCAAAATCTGAAAAATACAGTCCCTGTTCTCTAGGATTCAAAACGGGTCAATGTCAGTTTTTCGCCTTCACCTTCTAACGAACAGTCATACATATTGTAAGCATTCTGTGTTACGGCGAAAATAATCACCCTAGTTCCCCATCACCCTTGCAAGTAACTCTCCTGATGCCCAGTGACTTCTCGCTTAAGACAATTCACGTTGCAGGGCCACAGCGATTGCTTAAGTGGAGTCTGGGGCTCATTTGGGGGAGCTTTGAAACCATTTTCAATATTCTGTTCTGTGCTACCTTGCCCCAGAAATACCTTTCCATAACTTTAATTTTTCAAACAGTTGCAATGTGCTCGGTATGCTGCTGCATTTTGTCCAGGAATGTTTTTCTTCTTTGCTCTCCACACAGTATTTAGCACACTACTGCAAAAGCTGGTGTACTTGGCTTCAAGGGATCAACTGAAAACGCTTTAAAAGCAAACATCGGTGGAGCGAGAGGTTAAGGGCTCAGTTATTCATTCCAGCGGTGTGAGGGCGCTCTTGGATCGCGGACCCAGCGCTCCACAGCCGCAGGGAGCCAAATGCACTCGTGTCATCTCTTAAGAGATGTCCCATCATTCCCAGACTCTCTGGTCCCAAAAGTTAAAGAACTCCGTTTTCCAGACTTTTCTTCATGCCCCTTTACTAGCCTGGCGCCCTCCGTCTGTCGCTGGCCCCCGTGGAGCCCAGCTGCCTCGGGGCCCGAAATTTGTGTGCATCTCCTTTTGATTACTAACTAAGCTACCCTAAAGCGCCTGGAACGTCACGGGCCAGAGAGAAAAACCACACGGGACTAACTCTTGGGTCACATCTTGTTTCCTCAGCTTTATCTGCGGAACTTCGTCCCTGGCGACGGAGCCGACCCCCTCCGCCGTCTGCGGAGCCAAGGCCGGTCCCGACGCTCCCACCCCTGCCCCGGCCCTCCCCGCGCGGCTCCGCACTTTTTTCTCGCGTCCCCGGCACCACGTTGGCACCTCTGCCTCGGGCTTTCACGGCCAGGCCCGCCCTCGCCACTCACCTAGCAGCTCCGCGATGGCACTGAAGGGTCGCGTGTGGCTGCTGGAGTTGCTCTGTAGGTAGCGAGGGCTCATCTGGGGGCGAGAGAAGGTCCCGTCCCGCGTGAGGCCTCGGCCCGCCGGGCCCTCCCAGCGCGCCCCCCGCAGTCCCGGGGCCCGCGCGCGTGCGTCCGCCCCCTCGGGCCCCAGACCTACCGTGCTCAAACGGATCCCAAAGGCCTGCGGGCCGCCGCCCGGCCTGGCCAGCGCGCTACCCGGCGCGCCAGGGCCCGCAGGGGCCCCTCGGTACAGGAGCATTTTTTTGGCCGCCACGATACTCTTTTGCCGCTGCCGGACTCCTCGCCCGGCCGTCCGGGACTGACTCTCGCTAGCTCCCACCCGCAGCTGGCGGGGGCGGGGCGCGCTCCAGCCACCTGTCCGGGACGGGAGGGGGTGAGGCCGGCAGAGCCGCGCAGCGGCCCCGCCCTGTCAGCACCTCTCCCAACCAGCAGACTGCCGGGCCGGCAGCGGGGCCGTACTGAAATATGGCGACCTCCTGACAGCCGCTCCTTGATCCCCGCCCCTAATTAATTCTTGGCGTTTGCCATAGGCCAGGACGCCGAGCGGGAAAGAACGGGGGAGGGGGCGGGCGCGTGGGGAGGGGCGGGAATGAGGCTAGGGGAGGGAGAGGGTGTAGGGATTTCTGGAACAGAGTTCCCAGTTAGGAGGCATGACTAACAGGCAGGATAAGACAAGTCTTAGAAGTTCTGAAAACTACAGTTTTGCTATCTGGGGAGATAGCAGGCAGGCTCGCGTGATGGGAAAGCATTCAGACTATTTTGCCTCAAATGCCTCCAGAAGCAGCCAGAACTTTCCAGAAGGCAATTGGCAAATCATCTTCAAATCTTTGCAAGCATGCAGGGAGGCTGTTTATGAAAGAAGAAATTGGAATGCGCTTACATACCGCAAGTAGGAGATGGGGTTAGTTTATGCAGTATGCACAAAACTATGGAGTTCTTAAGGACCCTGTTTGCAGATGAAAATTTATTCATGTGGAAAATATTTATGAGGGAATTAAGGAAACAGGAGGTCACCGAATATTGTGTAATGTGATACCTATTTTTATTGGAAAAACAAGTACATACATATATGTATAAATATGCATATAGTTACACACACACACACACACCGCACAATGAGAAACACCTGAAATTATATATTTCAAGATGTTATCTCCAGGTCCGGAATTATGAGTTTTTCTGTTTTTTCTTACTTGCAGTTTTACATTTTTTGTACTGTTAAACAAACATACACCATTTGATTATAGAAAAAACATTTTTATTTTTTAAAATATAATGATCTCTGATACAGATGAACCATTATTTGACCATTCCTCTGTGATATTTCATGTTGTTTGAATTTTTTTTCTTGCCATGATCTGTACATCCTCATGAATTTCTGGTATAGTTATTTCTACAGAATACTGTTGTGTCTAAAAGCATGTGTGTGGTTTACTCTTAATAAATACTGTAAGATGGGGACAATTTGCCTCCCAGAAAGTTAGCTATTTTGTTACATTCATAGCACCAAGTGGTTTTGACCTTTTAACCTTTTTCCAATGTTTTGAATAAAAATTACTATCTCAATGTTTTAATTTGTGTTTTCCTTTCAGTAAAACTATCTTCACAAATGTTTATTGTATATTTATGTCCTTTGAACATTATTTCCCCTACTGGGTCCTTTGCATTTTTTTTTTGGTATCTTAAATTTTTTTTAAATACACAAAAATAGAATGATATGAATTCCCAGATACTAATTACTCACATTCAAAAATTGAATCACTTTGCTATACACCTGAAACTAACACAACATTGTAAATCGAGTATATTTCAATAAAATTTTTTAAAATTAAAACCTTTCTATACCTGCTTTATATATTCTTTTATTCTTCTATTTGTATATTTTAGGACAAATTTCAAACAGCATGTCATTTTATCCTATGTAATTCATTCTTCTCTGAAAATATGGACATTTTCCAAAAGATATAGCCACAATGCCACTTTCACTGAAACAAAATTCATAACAGTTCTTTGATGTTCTCTAATACCCAGCCCATAGTCTGATTTCTTCAATTATCTCAAAAAAATGTCTTTTTACATTTGGTTTGTTTAAATCTAGATCCAAACAAGACGCACACATTGTACTTGGTTATGTGTCTTTAATCTAAAACAGTCTCTTTTTTTTCTTCCTTCTATTGAGCTGTTGAAGAAATCAAGTCACTTTTATTGTTGAAAGTCCTACATTCTCATTTGTCTCTTTGCTTATTTTTGTTGTTACTTAGGTTGCTCCTTTCATTAGAGGAATAAATTTAACATAACTATAAACCATAAGTTGGCTCTAAAGTTTTCATTAGATTCTAGTACAAAGTTTTTAAAGCAGAAGTGCTCAGAGATGGTGCTGTATTCTTCCTGTTGCAACACATCAGAAAGTATATACTGTCTAACACTCAGTGATGTTCAGATTAATCAGCGGGTTCAAGTAGAGGCAGCCTGAATGTTCCCCTATAAAGTTTCCCATCAATCTTTCACTTTGTAGTTTCATTAATTGGTGTTTATTATCTGAAAAAAATATTTACTAGGGTTGAAAAACAAAAATAAACTAATCTCATCATTTCTTATAATTTATTAACTGGATCCCTCTGTATAGAATTTATCCTCATCACCCATTGGCTGTTTGGCTGCTCTGAAATACAATTCATATAGGAAAGACTGGACAAATGCTTAATTTTTTACTTTTAATTGTCCATTTTTAGAGTAAAGTGGTCTTCCTAAGTGGCTCTAGTAGTAAAGAGCTCGTCTGCCAATGCAGAAGATGTAAGAGATTCAGGTTTGATCCCTGGGTGGGGAAGATACCCTGGAGGAGGGCGCAGCAACCCACTCCAGTATTCTTGCCTGGAGAATCCCATGGACATTGGCTACAGTCAATGGGGTCACAAAGAGTCAGATACAACTAAAGCGACTTAGCAAGCAGACAAGAGTAAAGAGTTGGTTCCTGTGTTGCATTCTGTGATGTGACAGCCTATCTCCCATTTCAATAAAGGACTTTTTGGATGAGCTGCTGAGAGCACTGTTGGAAAGCTTCCTCTAGCTGTTAGCTCCTTCAGGGATTGCCTCAGATATGGAGTTGCCTCACTCAAGGTCACAGAGCTTTCTAGGGGCAGCCCAAAGAGGACTACAAAGGCTTAACCATCTCAGCTCAGCTTGGGATAATTCTGAAGGGTCATTCTAACTTTAGATCTCTCTGTGGGGTTGACTGAGGCTGTTATTGGGCCTGCAGTGCAGCTCAACTCCAGCCCCCACCCCCACTCCTTGTTTAGGCCTGCTCCTTTCACAGGTGTTAATCCAAAAGACATCTCTTAATAAGCATCTGGTGTGCTACATCCTGTCTTAGAGTTGGCTTCCTGGGGAACACAAATTATGACACTTGAGACTGAGTGTAACTCACGAAAGCCAGCACTTTGATGGGATTTGGGAGCTAGGTCACTCACTGCCCAGTTGGCAAGGAGGTCCACACTGCAGAGGGGTAGGTAGAGAATAGATACCTCTCTGCCACGAGGTGACACTCCTGTCATTGTAGACTTTTACCAGGTGGTGAATTGCGATGGTATACTGGTAGAAGGGAACATATGATCTGCTGTGCTATATCACGTATTTGAGAAATAGGGTGAAATAGTAGCTATGAGACCAATAGATTTCAGTGGTTACTGAGCTCCAAAGATTAACTACTAATGGAGACAGGTTTACTGCATCAAAATCAGGATGCTTCCTGGGGAAAGAATAGGACCCTGACATACAGTTTGGGGATATCTAGAGGGATACCATCAAAATCTTGAATCCCCAGATTTCCCTGAACCCTCTGAGCCCATAGAATTTGGCCTGATTTTCCTACCTTTTTTTTTTTTTAAATATGGAACATTTCACGAATTTGCGTGTCATCCTTGCGCAGGGGCCATGCTAATCTTCTCTGTATCGTTCCAATTTTAGTATATGTGCTGCCGAAGCGAACACTGATTTTCCTACCTTTAATAGTCCCCACACCTCTTACTTGGAGATAATGCAGAACTTCTCCCCCAGGAGGCAAAACATGCATTTACTTCCCCTCTAGCCACTAAGCCTATAACAACAGTTAAGGCACAGCATGAACATGGTAGGCTTGATAAAGAAGGAAACTAACAATGCTCCAAGTAGCTGCACAGCCTAGCTTGTACAGATTGGCATGAGCTGGAAGAGTGCACATGAAACCGATTCTGTGAGTGCTTGATCAAGGGAGCTAGACTATAAGGTTGGAAAAAGGAGAGTTTATCAATGTGAGAACACAACCCTGGAAAATAGGATTTAATACCCTGGCAAGGATCACAAGAGTTAGTGCAGACTCACTAAGACAGCTTCTAGAAGTATAGAAAACATGATGACCCACACTAAATGAGGTAAAAATGCCAGCATTTCTATGGCAATAATGGAATACGGGATCAAAAGATTTAGAAGTGGACATATTGGAGTGGATATACTGAAAGAGGGGGTGTCCCTTGTGGCTCAGACAATAAAGAATCTGCTTAAAATGCAGGAGACCTGGGTTTGATCCCTGGGTTGGGAAGATCCCCTGGAGAAGGAAATGGCAACCCACTCCAGTATTCTTGCCTGGAGAATCCCATGCACAGAGGAGCCTGGCAGGCTACAGTCTACGGGGTCACAAAGGGTCAGACATGACTGAGAGACTAAAACATACTGAAAAAGACTGGAAAACTCCAATAGAAAGACACAGAATACACCATTTACCACAGCCCTGAGGTACATGCTGTGGTACCTACTGGCACTGCTAAGAAACACAGTGGTGGATCTCCTCTGTAGGTTAGGCCTGTCCGGAGGAGAGACCATTACAGTAGGCTCACTAAGGCAGTGGGCATTGTAGGGCTCTGAAAAGACAGACACCCTGAGGTTGAGTGTAACCTTCAAAAGATAGGTGGGTGCAATTATCATAATAGGTGCAAGGTTAATGGGGAAGCCTGAGGAGCCCAAAGTGAAGTGATGTAAATGATAAATAGAACGTGGCATCCTAGGGGAAGGATAAATGAGCAGGGACAATAACTGTCCATTCTGGTGAGGTTTTAACCAGCGCCCTTCTGTCTGGACTGAGCATTCATAATCTTCCCTACAGGGTGACCACTAGACATTTCCCCCTCTCAGCCCAGCACAACACTTTTGAAAGCCTTGTTTGGCCTTCACTCTTATTTGAATCAAGTCTTGGAACTTCTAAAAATG